ATACATCACATTCTTGGTTCCAGTGGGACATTGCCTGAATTTCTCTTTATACTTCTCAAGCGTAAGCTAGAGAACTATTTTTAAATGCATTTTTATGTATACAGAGTATTCCACGTGATTATTGAACTCAGTCTGGTAAAACTCATTTAAGGCTATAGTTGATAATTGTTTGTTTGTGCTTCAAAAAAGTTTTTCACAAACTTAATTTTAATTTCCAATCATTTTATAAATACGAAATAGACGCCCAAAAAGGCAAAAACTATGATCATTCTGATCTTGGTTTTCTTGTTGTCTGAATGATGGAAAAAATAATCCTTACATTAAAAACGTTCCTTTTTAGCACTTTAGTTGCGCATTTGCGTATTCAGTGGCGTTTCCATTAGAATAGAAAGCGTTGATGATTGAGTCGTATTTTCGAAAAGGACACACAGTAAACTGTGTATGGATGTATTCAATTCAACGGCTTGGAATGAATTCCGGGAATAATTTTCCAATAAGATTACAACGATATGTGATAAGTTCCAGAAACCCCGTCTCTATAAAGAAAGCATGAGGAAAGTGACAAGTCGAAAGATAAGAGAAATCCAGAAATTTTTGAAAATGTTAAGACGTAATGGAGTAGACCACCACAACATCCATACAACATTTAACGCAGCAGGTCGAGAAATATTGCTAAAAGATGCGAGTAACAGGTGCAAGAATTACAGGCACCCGATTTTCCAGCTAGTGGTTTTTGGGCATATTTTATGGCCGACTTTTGAAAAAAATCTTTCGTACAAACAATTCCCAATTTCATTTAACATTACATTAATTACTACATTAATTCTCAAAATGTGTCTTCATCCCCAAAAAATTGGTATATGGGTAGCAATTAGTCAATGCCTACTTTGAATGTAATCATGCCAATAATAACCATGTGTATATTCAATCTAATCTTCTTCAAGGTAACCCGACTGCTGCTACATATCGGCAAGAAATTTTCAGTAAGAAGGGACTACACCACATTCGTCTAGGACAATAACAGCATGATACGAGAATTTTTCGACAATTGAATCCTTACTCGAAATACAGAGAATCTCTGGGCTCTAAAATTTTATGGTCTGACTCCTGCAAGCTTTTTTTGTGACTGTATTTATAGAATTTATAAAGAAATTATTTCATAAAACTAATTAATCTTGTACCAGTTTTCCTTACAAATTTACACTTTTTTTAATAAAAATATTACATTTGTAACTTTTTGTTATCAGTGTGGTTTAATCACCGACATGCTCACTTCTTTCCAGGGATGATTCGATTACTAATTATGTTGCTCGCCCGACAAAAAATGAAAAATTATGACCCGATTTATAGAAAGCGAAGTTAAAGTTAATTCGCGATTAACTTTTAATTGAGGTCCGTTGCGAGGCAACGCACATGTTTTGACCAATCACGGGCTCATATTCCACATTTTAATTCTCTGTTAAACTAATCGAGGATTAAATATTTAACTCGCTGTTCTATAAACCGGCCCTATATGTATTAAAGTTTTTTATCAAGAATTTTCGATATAATTATTTGCATTATTACAGAAAAAAATAGCCAATTTTAAAAATTCATAGTTACACTATTTTGAAAGATGACGATCTGGAGATTTCACAAATTGTCAGTTGTCTCATGTTTTTCAAATAGGATATCCTGTAAAGTCACAAATAAAATTTAACAACAAAGTGGTTCGCACTTGATTTGTCAAAATTTTGAAGCTTTAGTCACTGCATTTAAGTGTCAAAACAGAGTGACACAAAGTACAGATATAATGTGGATATGAACATTCACTTGACGTATAAATGACACTATGGTGTTAACCTAAATTTTTACCGCACTGAATTGTGGCTAAAACGACGTCCATGTATAGCTTATGAATTTTCTGAAAATTTTGACGCAAATGACGTTTCTTTGTCGTTAAGTTTTGTCTGCGACACTTTCGGACTTGTTTCTAGGTAGACTTTCTTTTACATGAGATTTGTTGAATCTGCATAATTTCAAAAAAACTATTAGGTTGACCTTAACAAATTTGGTAATCAGTAATCACCTTGCATAAATAAGTTAAAACACTTAACACATTTCACATGGCAAGTTAACCAAAAAATGTTGTATATTAATCCAGCGTCCATTTTTAATATGGTGGAGTTGAGAATTTATAAACTTTTACTTTAAAATACGAATAGACATGTTGAAAACTGTTAATCAAAAAAAGTTCTAAATCTAATCAACATTTTGACATTTAATTTGGAATCTGCAAAACCGAATGCTTTGAAATCTTGCAGATGGTTGACAGTTATGATAAGCATTTTATTCAAAATATATTTACTTGTTCCCTCCAAAAAACTGATGACGTCAGCTCAAAAGTTTGCCGAATAAATCCTATCTAAAATGTAGAAAATATGATGAGTCTGTAATTTATCATTCCGGTCATATTTTTTGGATTTGCGTATACAGGGTGACTCAAAAAAATTAATGAATGCGTAATTTTTTTTTTATTGATTTAATCAGGAACTACAAAACCAAATGCTTTGAAATCTTGGAGATGTTTTAAAGTTATCATAGGCATGGTAAATTTTTGATCAAAATATCATCCCCCCCTAAAAAATTGATCACGCCAGCACAAAATTTTTCCGAAAAAATGTCTTAAATGTGCATTGTGCAAAGTATGATGAATCTATAATTGTGATTTATCACTGCATAATTTTTTTTTAGATTTGCTTATACGATATGTGTAAAAAAAAATAATGACCGAGTCAATTTATTTTATTGATTAAATCAAGAATTGCAAAACTGAATACTTTGAAATCTTGACGTGTTGAAGTTATTGTAAGCATGGTAACTTTTTACTGAAAATGTTTATTAACCCCAAAAAATTGATTACGGCATCTCAAAATTTTGCCGAATAAATTCTTTCGCAAATGTGCAAAATATGAATAGACTTTTAATCATTGCATTCATATTTTTTAGATTTGCTTAAACAGGTGACTCAAAAAAATTAATGAGTCAGTCAATTTATTATTGATCAAATTAAGAACGAGTCACCCCATTTCCTCGAAAATGTGAAAAAGTCGTCTTTGTAATAATAATGACAAAATAAGAATTGTAATATTCAGATCATTTTGTTCGATTGTGGTTTAATTCAAATCAAACTAATTTCTACGTGACATTCTTTCGATGTATAAACATAAATAAACACTCGAGAATGTTGGATTGTTTGATGTTTCATTGTACTTTAGGAGCGAGGGAAGTTCTGTCGAAGCAACTTTCGACCATTTTTTTTTAATAAATATAACTGGTGCGTAATCTCAAATAAAACACCCAGTACATTTAAAAAGAAAATACAACCCCAAGTGAACTCTATGAAACTGCTTTTTTTTCAATAATTTACTGAATGCGTAATGTTCCACTGCTAGATCTTTTAAATTAATTGGTAACAAATGATTTCAAAAAGTTTACATTTTTAGGGGAAATATTGGATATTTTAATTTATTATAAATTCATTTCCTACTGAGATGATTGTGAAAGTAAGTGTTTCAGCAAGATATAAATAATGTTAATACTTTTTTAAGTTTAAAAGAGTTAGATCCATTAGAAAGAGACTACAATGCTTTCGGTACTATTCATTCTATTTGGTTATTTACTCATTTATTTTTCTCAGTCACAACTTTCTCAACACTATACATGATGACACCGAAACAGATCATTATACAGGGTGATTTTTTAACTTGAAACTTTCAAATATCTTGAAAATTTGCATTCTGCGACAAAATATTTAGAATCAAAATTTCATCATTCCATGAGGGAAATATCTTCTACGAGTAAAAGTACGTACGATTTGTCTGAAACATTTTTTTCGATGAATGATAGATGGCGCTGTAATAGACGCAATTCAATTTTTTCCATTCCTCCTACTAAGGACCTATGCATACGCTTATGTAAATACTTGAAATTCGTCGTCAAAAAAGTGTATTCATTTTGCAAAATTTCGAATAATGGGGCAATTATTACCTGTAAAAATGTAAATGACTGGTTTATACGTTTATTTTGTTTTATTTCTTATTGTATTGTTGTTGCAATTAAAAAAACAAAAGAAAAGAAATAACACAAACATTAAATGTAAACAACACTTCTTCGTGGGTTGCGATAATAGTATATAGTTTCTTGAAAAGTAATTTTCTAGTAAATTAGAAAAATACAATTTGTTTTATGACTAATGTTAATTATGTACAATGCAAACGTAGTATTTTTATAGGTTTTCAGTAGGGAAAATGTCTATTACAGCGCTATCTATCATGAATCGAGAAAATGTTTCAGACAAATTGTACATACTTTTAGTCGTAAAATCCGAATCTGCACTAAAAAGTAGGGGTTCCTATTTAAGATTTCAAAGTTACCCCCCGCCCCACTTCCAAGGAGTATGACAGGGGGACTAATATTATCACCAGTATATTTCCCCTATGGAATAATGAAATTTTTATTCTAGGTAAATATTTTTTCGTAGAGTGCATATTTTTCGAGATATTTGAAAGTTTTAGGTTAAAAAAATCACCTTGTATGCTAAATACATTCTAAAAATATGTAAGTATTACAACATACAATTATTTGCTTAAAAGCTGGATATCTAGAAAGAGAAAACCAAGGGATCAAATAAAGAAAATTCAGTAATATTTCTATCATGGCAAGGTTCCACGTAAAGGGGAATTCCATGTTTATATCTCTTTTATTATCTCTGCGCATATAGATTTTATGAGTTTTATACATTACTTTATCTCCACTCTATGTATATATACAATTTAAATATAATTCCGTGGAAAAGCTGCACACCGAAAGTGCCATTACCCAGCTGCACGCTCTAAGTACATATCGTTCCGCGACGCCATAACGCACCAATTTCCATCTTTTAGAGCCATTCTTGTGCAGCGATAAGCCGTGGTAACGATCTTCAAGCGCGCACTTAGCTGTATAAAGATAAAACTTACTGTTATATCTGCTAGTTGGTAGAAGTCCACTATTAAGCATGGACAATTTGATTGTATTAGGAAGAGTAACCAGCGACGTTGCCGCACTGATATGTCTCTTTTTCCTTGGTTTTTCCACATCGTTATATCTTGGGGTTGATCGTGATCGGTGCTTCCTCCTAACCGTTCCAGATGAATGTTCTTTCAGTTTTGCATCCGGTTCACTGGACATACTTGAAAGATTGACACTGCGCGATTTAACCCGTTATTAATTCGTATCGACTGAAAATTGATTTGAAATTCAATCCGCTGGAGCTGGACGAAATGAATTTATTTTATTAAACTCTTCTCGATCGGAAAACTTTGTCGGAATGTCATAAATTACACGGACGTCTTGTAGCTTCCACGAACATTCTGCGGAGAAATCTGAAAAAGAGACAACATTGTTTACAGGAGATTTCAGAAAAAGGGATTTGATTTATTTTATAATAAATGTTTCGAAGATTCGAAATTAATACAGAAATACATTTTTTAAGAGTGTATAGGTTATATAAAAAGTATTATTAAGCTACTCTGTATATATATACAGAGATATTACGACACGTTTGGGAAGTAAAACACGGAGCGAGAAAAGAAGAATGGATTGTAGGCGAGATTTTAGATTTTTAATGGACCCAACAAATAAAAGTTAAAATCAAGCATGTGAGGGAAAACTGGGTAAGAGAAAAATGCGAAGAATTAGAACTATTAAACTTAAAAGGTTAAGATAATTAATAAATAAATAGAAAAAATATAAGAACCAACACAGACTAAGAAAAGAGGATGGTAAAAATACAACGAGTAGATAAAGAAAGATAGAAATATAGGAATCGCTTAGATTTATAGAGCAAATGTTTAAGGAAGTAACAAAAAAATTCAACTACATATATCAACGCGGTAAAGGCGCTACAATACTAAAATCTGAAGTTGAATATGGAATAAAACAACTTAAAGATAATATAACACCTAGACCAAGTGGAGTCAATACAGAAATTATAACGAACATCGAGAAGCCAGTAACTTCATCTAATTCAATATACAAGGTACCGCATCCAAGTCTGGATATAGGGAATTAACATGGGAATTGGTTTTTATTTTATAATATTCCCCAGATCACTTTAAAGCTATTATTGAGTGATGCCTTTGTGGAGATCGAAGAGGGCTATTGGCCAGTATTTTTTTCAAATCGTCGCATGGTGCTCATTCACTGTAAAAAGGTTTTAAAAATCGTATTTTGAAATTCGCGCCCGATCCGATTTGTCGCGAAATGTTCCGTCGCACTGTCGCACTGTGATCTGGGAAGATATTATAAAATAAAAACCAATTCCCATGTTAATTCCCTATATCCAGACTTGGATGCAGCTCCCTGCATAAATCGGGTGAAGTAACCAAAGAGCTGACTTAATTCAATATTTTTCCCCTCCCCAAAACATCACACGCAAAGTTGTGGCGTAAGTATAGATTGATTACTTAATGATTAATAATACATATAATAAGTAATGCCCTGAAAATCCTTTTAGAAATTATTCACAATAGAATGTATGAAAGGATTTATACATCTGTTTCATTCGCTTTGAAAAAAGCTTTAATATAGTAAACAATAATATACTAATGGAACGCACTGATAAAACAGGAATTGATCAGAGGTATATTCGGCTTATTACCAAATCAATGACCTTTTCTTGTTAACATGATCTTTGCCTAATTCTTTGTAGAATTTTCAGTATTTCGGTATAGCTGTATTTTTTTAGCTCATTAATCAATCATATTTTCAAGTATGTGTGAGATGTACATTTTTTCGTTTTTAGATACTCGTAGATTTAAGAATATGTGGTTTAAATCTGCTAGTATTAGGGCACGAAACAATTCGTTTCCTTCTACTCTTCTAAGGAAATATGTGTTTCTTCAGTTCTAAAATTTGAGTAAGTATCTTTCTTGTGATTTGTCCAGATATTTGCATGTCATATTGTCATTCTTCTGCTTCAATAATTTCACTGTTCCCTGTAGCATGTAAGATTAGTTGTTGGACAACTCTTATGAATGCTTGATTTTTATATTTGTTGATACCAAAGTACATTTCTATGTCTCCAGAAAACTCTTCTTTTAGATTTAACAAGTTGGTCAACTGGTCTTTTTTGTACTCCATGATATATCTCTTTTTGTCTTCCATAGGTATATGACAAAATTGACAAATGAGTTAAGTCTATTTTCCGTTTTGTTGTTAATTCTTATGGTGAAAGTTGAAACCTTAGTTCAGAACCCCATAGAAGGTTTTTTAAAAAAGAGCTAATTTCGCGATTGACCTTATATCTACATTTCAAGTATTTTGTACAACTAGAAATGCTGTCCTGAATTATTATTATTATTACTATTAATTATATTATTAGCAGATTTTTTTTCAGTCTAGATCTTTAATCAACTCCAAAAACTGAAAGAATATAATTGTCCCTAGCAAACTGCAGTAATCCAAAAAATCCCCATCATCCACTTTTCAAAGATATTCTACTAATAGAAATCTAAAAATGCCACACAATACATAAAACACTTTTAAAAATAAAGAGCTGTTTGACCTATTTGGCGAAGTACAAGAAACACCCAACTCTCTAGAGTTTCCCTCAAATTCAAATTTCCTTCCCTAATTTGCCCGCAGCTCTAGCTAACGTTATTTAGAAATCCATTACAAGTAAACCGACGTGTGAGAACTAAGTCATGAATTTATATATCCGATGATATAGTGAAACTCCGGTTAAAACGTCACCTCGTGGCGTTTTATTAATTTATATTTGAGGCCGACGGAAGTTCAAGTTCTGGGAAATATCAAGTGAGAGATGACTTAAATTAGTAGATGGTGAAACCAGAAGCTGTAAGTACCACCGTCATAAATTAGAGAAATGCTTTTCCCGACGACGGACCCATTTATATAAACACAACTCTTTTTTTATTGGGGGATTACGCCGGAGGAGGAGGAGAGCACTAATGAGACGTCATTTTTAATCCTGAGGTTAAGGAACTTAAATTAATTTGAGGATATCGTCGGCTAACCGCGTCAAAGCCATTACAAAATTAAACATTTTATTTACGTCGTGGGCGGAGATGGAGAGGCAATAAAAAGTAATCTGATTAATTATGTATTAGATCCGAATGGACTCCGGCTGCTGAATACAGGCGTACGTAAAACGACGCTCAATTTGTCTGGAACATGTGACATTTAAATAAATAGGTGAGAGGCTTCAGAAGAATAAACACAAATAATTTTTTACATCAACGGCAGATTTGTTCTAGAACAAAGACAAAATTTGGAGGATTTCAAAATATCTTCACGTTTTAAAGTCTCCCAGAGAGAGGAAATGGCTACTAAGTAAGTGTAAAGGCCTACAATACGATAAAACCTGACTGCGAATTATATGAGTGTGTGTAAATAATTGTGATTTATTTTGAGAAAAAAAAAGGTCGAATGTTCATCGAAAAAAGCAAAGCACTATTTTTAACAGATTAGTTGACAAGGCTGTATTTATTGCAACCCTACTAATAATGTTAAAAAAAGACACTAATTGCATTAAAGTTTTAATATATTTATTCTACACCGTCTTAAAAATAAAAAACTAAAGCGTAGATAAAAAGACGCACAAAGAATTATCTCTTCCACTTATTAATCGCTCGGTGATATGCATGTGAAAAGTAAAAATGTTCGGTTCCGTAAGTATAAATCGTGTCTTCAATCAAAGGCTATTATTTTTTCCTTTAAGATAATAATTTGTACTGGGCAAATTAAAATCACCAGCTATCACAGAATTTGAAATTTTACTATAAATTTTAGAGACATGCAATGATGAATAATAATAATCATTAATTCAATAGAGGAATTAAGAATTAATGTAACAACATTTTGGTCAAAACTTTGGTCTGAAGAATTTGAATTTAACCAATCTGCCAAATGGATTCCTCATATATCCCATAAACTATCCACAGTTACACCAATGAATGATCATCAGATAACACTTGCCGAATTAATAAATACCATCAATAAGACACACAACTGGAAATCACCAGGACCAGACAAAATCCATAATTTTTGGATAAAAAAATTTAATTGTGTACATATTCATTTACTAAATCACTTAAATCAGTTCCTTCTTGACCCATCCTCCTTTCCAACATTCTTATGTCATGGTGTAACATACTTAAAACCTAAAGATAACGACACAAAAAATCCATCAAAATACAGACCTATCACATGTTTACCAACAATCTATAAAATATTAACCTCATGCATTACACAAAAAATCTATCAACACTGTTTTAACTCTAACATCATTAATGAAGAACAGAAAGGATGTATTAAAGGATCCTTTGGTTGCAAAGAGCAATTAATCATAGATTCCATCATCTGTGAACAAGCTAGAAAAGAAAACCGAAACATATATACTGCTTTTATTGATTATAAGAAAGCTTACGATTCTGTCCCTCATTCCTGGCTATGCAAAATTCTGGAATTATACAAAATTGATACTAAAATCTGCACTTTTCTAAAATGTTCCATGGAATTTTGGAAGACCACCCTTCAAATAACCTTAAATGAACAAACAATTCAGTCAGATCCAATAATGATCCGAAGAGGAATTTTTCAAGGCGATTCTCTTAGTCCGTTATGGTTCTGCTTAGCAATAAATCCCCTCTCCGATATCCTGAACAGTTGCAATTATGGGTTCAATATAAGAATTAACAAACAAAGAGAAAACAGAATAAGTCACTTGCTGTATATGGATGACATAAAAATATATGCAAGTACACAAAATCAGTTAACAAACCTATTAAATCTGACTGAACAATTTTCCGGTGATATTGGTATGTCTTTTGGTATTGAGAAATGTAAGACCCAAGCAATCAGAAAAGGCGTCCAACACCAAGTACCACATATAACCCAGAATAACGAAATAATCGAAGCACAAGAACGAAACGATACATACAAATATCTGGGTTTCTGTCAATCATCACACATCAATCATAGCAAAACGAAAACACAGTTGAAAGATCAATACCTAGCGAGATTGAAATTAATATTGAAGACACAGTTAAATGGAAAAAATTTAATGAAAGCAGTAAATACATTCTGCGTTCCACTACTAACATATTCTTTTGGAGTCATTAAATGGTCCAAAACTGATCTTGAAAATTTAAACATCGCAACAAGGAAAATCTTCACACAGTATAGAAGGCATCATCCAAAATCGTCGATTGAAAGATTCTCATTACCAAGACAGAATGGAGGAAGGGGTTTCCAGAACCTAGAAAACTTATGTCAGAGACAAATCTCAGATTTGAAGAAGTATTTCTTGAAACGAGCGGAAAGAAATGAAATGTTTCGCACCATCACATGAGCAGATTTG